GTGCACAGGCCCAGCAGTCGGGGTCCTCGGGGGGGCTTCTGTTTTGGTGGCTTTCCTTTTCAAGAACCCCCCAAATTCACAAACCTACGGGGTGGGGATGCAACTGTACTTTTAAGGAAAACCTCTTGCTCTGATAGGAGGGTTACACTCTCGTCATAAATACTTAGATGACACCCAAAGGTGCAGACACCGCCACACGGTCGGTCGGTAAAGGGCGTTCCTCCAGCCTCGGCCGCCGCCTCCCTGCGCCCGGGGTCTCCCCGCTGGCCCAGCTCTGCCGCCAACAGCGCAGGACTCGGGGCAGGTCAGAGAGCGGGTGGAACCGAGGCTTGGATGCCAGTGCCCACCCCCTGCCTGCCTGGGCGTGGGTTCCACATCTGCAAGTGGCAGCTGGCGACACTGAAATCTCAGCGTCTACCGGGGCCGGGGGGGACAGGCCCAGCCCCCCAGGCGGTCCTGGGAGCCAGAAATGACGGGCACCCACAGATGCCGCTCAGTCCCCAGCTCTCCATGGGCCAAGGCCTCGCTGGGCCCTGCCTCCGGCCCCCGAGCCCCTCCCCGGCTCCCAGCAGGAGTCGGCCAGCCCCTGCGGGTCATCTCTAGAGACGGGACTCGCCCTCTCCGGGCAGCCTGGTCTATGTGGGAACAGCTCAGACACACCCTCATGGCACAGTGTCCTCTGAGGTTAGATGAGGTCCCTCGGGCACCTGCCGGGCTCGGAGACAGCCGCAGGGACGCCGGCCAAAGGCCACGCGGAGGCCTCTGGCCCTGGCACAGGGACGGGCCTCATGTGCCACAAGTCACGTGTGTAAGGAAAGCGGCCCCTGGGCGGCTCCTGGCGGGCACATGGCACAGGGAGCCCGCAGGGTCTGGCCCCCTCCTGCAGTCATCCTGCCAGACAGCTCCAGCACGCAAGTGAGCGGCCCGCTCTGAGGGAGGGCAGAGGTGGCGCCGGTCTCACAGTGCCCCAGGACCGATGGGGGGGTCTCTGCTCCAGGACCGAAGGGGGGGGGTCTCTGCCCCAGGACCGATGGGGGGGGTCTCTGCCCCAGAACCGATGGGGGGTCTCTGCTCCAGGACCGACGGGGGGTCTCTGCCCCAGAACCGATGGGGGGTCTCTGCTCCAGGACCGACGGGGGGGTCTCTGCCCCAGGACCGACGGGGGGGGTCTCTGCCCCAGGACCGATGGGGGGTCTCTGCCCCAGGACCAATGGGGGGTCTCTGCCCCAGGACTGACGGGGGGGTGGTCTCTGCTCCAGGCTCTGCCCCCCTGCTGGCTGCTTCCCTCGGCAGGTTTTCCTGGGGGGACTTGGGGGGGGGGGTCATGGGGACACCACTGGTGCTTCTCAGCTCAGGTGTCGCTGGCCGTCGGCCTCGGCTTCTGGGAAGTCCCGGGCGGGCTCCCTGGCCGGCTCGGTCACATGCCCGTCACTGAGGCCAGCGGTTCCCTGTGCTCCCGCCCGGCCCCGGGACTGGCTTGTGCCCAAGCCCTGGCCCCCCTGAGCCAACACTGTCCCAGATCTCAGAGGGGCTCTCAGCAGGCGGCCCTGATGCCCTCGGGGCCTCGGCAGAGCCCAGTGGTCAGGGTCAGGGTCAGGGTCAGGGTCGGGGCCGTGGTGGGTGGAGGCCATCCGGGCAGCCACAGTCCCCGCTGTGCACTCGGCGAGTGAGGTGTCCCTTTACCCCTCGGACCTGCTGTGGCCGGCGCTGCCCAGACCTGCTGGGCCCACACGGGAGGCGGAGGGAGCCCGGCTTTAGTGGCTGTGACCACACAGGCAGCAGAGCCGTGACTTCCGGGGCTGCACCTGTCACCGCCTCCTCGGCCCTGGCTGGAGTCAGGTGACCGGCAGGGCCTGCCTGGGCTGGACCCGCTGCCTCCCCGGGCTGCTCTCCTGGGCGTGGGGGGTGGTGGCGTGGGGGTGGGGGGACCGTGCCGTCTGTGAGCCCCAGGGGTCACTCTGGCCTGAGGAGCGCTGCCCAGCCCCGACTCCGCTGCCTCACTGACCACGGGACGGCCGGAAGGGAACACCCGGCTGCGCTCGCGCCCCCAAGTGGCACCCGGCATTGGAAGGAAGTTCTACTTCGTTCCAAACAGAACCCAGAGCCTCTTCCTGGAAGAGAAGTCAGTGGCGGCAAAGTCACGGAGCCCAGTCCGGGCTGAGGCTGGGGCAGCCGCTGTCGGGGCAGCCCGGCAGGGTGCCCGCTGGCGAGCTCTCCGCACCCTCACCTCCCAGCCTGGCGCAGGCGCTGGAACCGGAGCCAGCCCACTGGCCACCCTGCGGGGCGAAGGCCCCCATGGCGGGGCCCAGCGGAGCTTGGGAGCAGATGGTGCACTGAGTCTCGCGGGAGGGGCCTGGGGGGGCACCTGGAATCCAGGCCGAGAAGACTCCCCCAAATGGCAGGCTGCTGGTCAAGAACGTGCTGGCCCCGCCCTGGCCGGCCGCTCAGTGGTTAGAGCACCGGCCTGCGCACTGGAGGGTCTCGGTTTGATTCCTGGTCAACAGCACGTGCCTGGGTTGCAGAAATCAATGAAAAAATGTCCTCACTCGTTGGGTAAGGATTAATAAGGAAAAAAGAACATGCCGGCCCCTTGGGGATGAGGCCTGTCACGGGGAAGCAGGAGGGGCCCAGGGCTCTCCCTGCAGGATCTGACCACAGGGCAGGGCGTTCCCAGGAGGAAGGTGGCAGCACCGAGCTGGGGCCCGGCCTCTGCAGCTCCGGCCTCAGGTGGCCTCGCAGGGCTTAGCCGTCTCCTCTGAACAGGCCCCGCGACGCGCCCTCTGGGTCCCCGGGACTCGCCGTCGGTGGGCAGACCCCCGAGGGAGGAAGCGCCATCGTCCCCGGGGCCCGCGGTCACGGGAGCACCGAGCGGCGTCTGGAGGAGCAGCAGCCTCTGGGTTCGGGCGGGTTGGTCTGCCAGTGGCCCATGCGCCAGGCTCCCAGGAACCAGGCAGGCGGAGAGCCACAGGCCTTCCCTGCAGCCAGCGAGGCCGCGCCCGGGGCCGGCCCACACAGCAGGCGCGGAAGGGAAGCTCTGTGGCTCCGTCCGTGCCGGGGCTGCCAGGGAGCCGCCCCCAAATGGTGCTGCCAGAGGGGCCCCGCCTGGGCCAAGCTCTGGGCCCTTCCTCAGAGGGGGCTGAGCTTTCTTTTTCTTTTAAAAATATTTTTATTGATTTCAGAGAGAAAGGGAGTGAGAGGTAGAAACAATGAGAGAATCTTTAACCTGCTGCCTCATGCACACCCCCTACTGGGGATTGAGCCCGAAACCCAGGCATGTGCCCTGAACGGGAATTGAACTGTGACCTCCTGGCTCATAGGTCGATGCTCAACCACTGAGCCACCCGGCCGGGCGGGACTGAGCTTTCCTGCTGGGCTCCCCGAGTTCAGGCCTCCCTGGGGCCTTTCCCTCCTCTGTTCTGGGCCGTTAATGAAATGGCAGGAGGAAGCGAGACATCACAGGTCCCAGGCACATCTCACACCCTGGGCGAGCCCAGGTCCTACACACCCAGCACCAGGCCTCGGCCACGCAACCTGACCCGCGCGCGTGTGCATATGTGTATGCACATGTGTGTGCATGCGTGTACGTGCGTGTATGTGTGCACGTGTGTGCGCGCACGAGTGTGTGTGTGTCCACCTCGAAGATGCGGGTCCGAGGGGGCCTCCTGCAGCAGGGCCCCCGGAGGCCCTGTCGCCCCCTCAGGCCTCGCTCCCTTTCAGAGAGTGGCAGGACCCCGTCCACACTGCACTCAGCTCGGCCCCCACCCCTGCCCGTGGCCTCCAGCCAATGGAGAGGCCCTGAGGCTGGGCGTGAGCACCGGGCTCCCTCCCGCACGGCTGCCCGCCACCTGGGCCTGCGACAAGGCCACTCTACTCGCCTGGCTCTCCCGGGTCAGCCAAGGCCCGACCTAGGCCACCAACAGAGGACAGGGTCCACGGGGCCCTCCGATGCCTGCTGACCATCCAGGGGCCTCGGCTCCTGACCATCCAGGGGCCACGCAGGGCGTTCGGACGGGAGGCCCTGGCCCCTGCCCGGCTCACGTCTGGCGCTGACATGGGACATGCTGACCATCAAACCTCTGGCTTCTCGCTCACACAGATGGCGGTGCGAGCGGGGGGCAGAGCCCTGGAGGTGATGGGCGGCCCTGGAGGAAGCCGGTGTCAGGGGTGGATGGCTGCAGGGAAGGACCCAGGCCTAGTCCCCAGGGCACAACTGACTCCTGGGCTGGTCATTGGCCTGAGCCGGCCACACACCTGCAGAGCCCCCATGGATTTCCGGCCCTGGGAGGTGGGGGGCGGGGGGGGGGGCCACAGAGCACGCGGCTCCTAGGACTGTCCAGCCCGGCCCGGCCCAGCCAAGGCGCCGTCTGTGCACCCACAGTGCCCTCTGCTGGGGGTAGGGGGCAGTGCGGGCCCCAGTGCCCAGCAGGAAAACAGAGGCCAGCCCGAACTTTCTGGGAGCTGCTCAACATGCAAACCAGCAGGTGAGAGCAACATCAGGGACGGCCATGTGTCGTCATATGAAACGCTACCATCGAGGCTCTCACACTCTGTGGTCCCACGTGTGCACTCGTGTGCGCCGTGCCCTCCACACGTCAGCGTGGACCAGCTGCACTCGGGCTCAGCAGCCCCCGCAGCCCATGGCCCCAAGTGGGCAGCGGAGAGAGGGCTCTCTGACTCCCACGTGATGAAGAGGGCGGGCAGAAGGAGCGGGAGGCTGGCCAGGGGAGCCCAATGCCCAGCCGTGACCGCTCTCACCAGTCACCCAACCTGCTGGGTGAGACGCCGGAGCCTTCGCCTTTTCTCTCCGCGTGACGCACCCACTCAAATCCGTCCTGGGGCTCGAACCCGGTGCCAAAGCCACGGTCTGCTGGGAAGGCAGCCCGGCCGGCCTCGGAGGACCCAGCGGTGCGCCCCCACGTGGGAAGAGCAGCCCCCTTTATCTTGGACGACCAACAGGAATCGCGGGGAGGGCGGCAGGTGCCGGCCACGGAGGCGCTCACCTGAACTTCCCGGTCCGCACCTGCAGCGCTCGCATCCCGCACCGCTGCGCCCCGCCGACGTCGCCCACAATGTCGTCTCCGATCATGACGGCCTGTCACACAGAAGCCACGCCAGGTGTCAGTCCTTGTTTGACATCAGAAACTGGGAGAAACCACCATCCTAGCCCGGCCGGCTTGGCTCAGGGGTTGAGCGCCAACCTATGAGCCAGGAGGTCAGGGTTCGATTCCCGGTCGGGGCACAGGCCCGGGTTGTGGGCTCCATCCCCAATGTGGGGCGTGCAGGAGGCAGCCAATCCATGAGTTTCATCAGTCATGTTTCTGTCTCCCTCTCCCTTGCTTTCTGAAATAAATTTTAAAAAGAGAAAAACAGAACTTCTCCCCCTCACAAGGACACCGGTGGGCGTGGCCCAGGCAGTGACACCGGGACCTGGGCCCGGGAGGGAGGACTCTGGTGGAGGAGCCGCAGCTGGGATTCTGCCTGATGGTCCGATGTCCAGGCCCAGGCCAAGCCTGGCGCCCATGTGAGGCTGGAGGAGCCCGGGTTCGGGGCCTGCTGGGTGTGGGGCCTGCCGGGTACGGGGCCTGCCAGGTGCGGGGCCTGCCGGGTGCGGGGCCTGTTGGGTGCGGGGCCTGCCGGGTGCGGGGCCTGCCGGGTGCGGGGCCTGCCGGGTGTGGGGCCTGTTGGGTGCGGGGCCTGTTGGTGCAGGGCCTGTTGGGTGCAGGGCCTGTTGGGTGTGGGGCCTGCCAGGTGCGGGGCCTGTTGGGTGCGGGGCCTGCCGGGTGCAGCCACGGGCAGCGATGTCTGTCTGGATAGCGTGCGGCCCGAATAGCAAGCGCGCGGCCCTGGGGATTTCACAGCGTTCCTGGCGGTGAAGGGCAATCATCACACATGGAGCAGCAATTACTGCCCAATCGCTGAGGATTTAGAAAATCATTGGTGAGAAGATGGAGGTCAGGAGGTGCGCCGTCGGGGGAAATAAAGCCGCACCTGTCAGCGCCGCCCCCTCGGCCTCAGTGCGGGAGGGAGGACGCGGCCCAGCCGGCCCGCGATGGTTCCAGGAGCTGCGGGCAGCGGGCGCCACGCCCAGCAGTGGCCTTTCTGGTTTGGGCTCTAAAAGCAGGTTCCCTCGTCCCTCCTGTGTGTGCGCCACCCGGGGCCTTGCCCTCCTGGTGCCGGCAGGTGGCCACTCAGTGCTGACGAGCTTCCGGAAGCCCCCGCCCCCAAGAGAGCAGTCGTCGCAAAACTGAACCGGCCCCTGACCAGGCGTCAAGACCCCCCACCACCCAGAAGACGGGGCGGAGGGCACGCGGGAGGACTCCCCGAGGGCGTCGACACGCCAGCTTCTCTCCACACCCTCAGGAGGAAAACACAGGAAGTGACGGATTCAAAAAGCACTGAGGATCCCGCTGACCAGCCCGAGCCGGTGTGGCGCAGTGGACAGAGCTCCGTGCCTGGGGCCTGTGGACCGAAGGGTCCCGGGTTCAATTCTGGTCAAGGGCACGTATCTCACTTGCAGGCCAGGTCGCCGGCCCTGGTCAGGGTGCGTGCGGGAGGCAGCCTGTGGATGTGCCTCTTTCACGTGGATGTCTCTCTCTCTGCCTCTCCCCGTCCCTTCCACTCTTTAAAAATCAATGAAAAAAATATCCTCGGGTGAGGATTAGGAAAACAAAAAAACAACAAACAAAAAGAATCACACTGACCAATCACAATGCAAGGCCCTCCTTCGACTCCTGATTCAAACAACCTGTAAGCCACACACCCCCAGACCAGCGGGGAAATGGGAACAGTGGCGGGTATCGGATGGCATTTAGGAAGGATCGTCGGCATCACTGGAGGTGGTGGTGGCATTATCTGTGTTTCTATAAAAAGAATCCCTGCCTTTTGGAGACACGGAAGTATTTACAGATGAAGTGACACGATTTCCGGGATTTGATTCAAAATAATGGGGGGAGGAGAAGGTGGGGTACAGGTGAGCCCCGAGGCTGTTCACCTTGAAAGGGGTCTGACAGCCAAACGCAGGACAGGCTGAGCAACAGACTCCGTAGCGGGAGAAACGGCCGGACACTCGTGAAATAAAACAACGTTCCGAGTCCACGTTGGAACAGATACGTGAACGGGAGGAAGAGGAAGGCTCCTCCTTGCAGCAAAGTCCAGGCGCTCACAGACGGAGCGCGTCGCCGGGCGGATGCCCAGGGGCAGCTGCGTCAGGCGAGGGGGCCGTGGATGCTCGCGTCAGGCGGGAGAAGGAGAGGAAGAGGACGTTTACAGGGTCAAGCACTTCCCCACAAGGTACTGACGAGGGACAAAGAGACACACAGTGGCTTTTCGGTGGACAACCTGGCGACACCACCTCCAGTGAGGACCCAAGAGAACATCACCAATAACGGGGCTCCCGACGGGACGTCCCAGAGGGCATTGCTTCTGCGAGATTCCTGCCCAAAACGCGTCGCCTAAACCCCGAGGAGACATCTGGACAAACCAAACGGAGGGACAGTCTGCGCCACGCATGTCAAACACCCACGAGTTTACACAGTAGCTGGCCAGTGCTGTTCAAAATGCCACAGCCGCCCAGCCAGCGGGGCTCAGTGGCTGAGTGTTAGTTAACCTAGGAACCAGGAGGTCACAGTTCGATTCCCGGTCGGGGCACAGGCCCGGGTTGTGGGCTTGATCCCCAGTGTGGGGTGTGCAGGAGGCAGCCGATCCATGATTCTCTCTCATCATTGATGTTTCTCTCTCTCGCTCTCTCTCTCTCCCTTCCTCTCTCTCTAAAAATCAATATAAACATTTTTTTTTTTTAAAAAAGCTACTGGTGGGACGGCTGGCAGCGGCTGCAGAAGGTCTCTGGGTTAACTAACCGTCGTGAGTCAGTGCGCATGTCAATCGCTTTATGGCTGTCCTATCAGACGTCAGCACTGGGAGCTGGTTTCAGGCATACGGGCATTCCCTGTACTGTTTTTGCAACTCCCTTGTAAAATGTGAAATTATTTCACAATGGACAGTGAAAAGCCATTTTAAAAAGTGCTCTAGTAGTTGGTCATTACTGGAGCTCAGTGATGGGGACATAGGGTTCGTTATGTGCCGGGGTCCAACCCCAGCAGGTCCAGGGGTCCCCAAAGGTGTGGACGGAGTCAGTGAAGAAGGAATGACACGCAGACAGCGTTCAGTTGATCAGCAGCCTAGCCAGGATCTCCAGCCAGGATATCCAGCCAAGTTCTGGTCAGGATCTCCAGCGAAGTTCTGGTTAGGATCTCCAGCCAGGTTCTGTGTCCATGTTCTCTTGCTAGGTTCTCCAGGTTCTCCAGCCAAGTTCTGTAGCCATGTTCCCTCGCTAGGTTCTCCAGCCAGGTTCTGTCCAGGTTCTCCAGCCAGGTTCAGTCACCAGGTTCTAGTCAGGTTCTCTTGCCATGTTCTATCCAGGTTCTATAGCCAGGTTCTGTCTCTAGGTTCTGTCTCTAGGTTCTGTGGGCAGTTTCTGTCCAGGATCTCTTGCCATGTTCTCTCCAGCGAAGTTCTTCTGTCTCTAGGTTCTGTGTCTAGGTTCTGTGTGTAGGTTCTGTCTCTCTTGGTTCTGTCTTCTAAGTTCTGTGTTGTTACATCTGTATTTATACCAGTTCTATCTATTTATTCCAATCCTATCAATCTCTATTCCAAAGGTTAGGGCGTTTCTTATCTCCATTCCAGGGAGTAAAGATTATGTAGCTTAAGCATGATTGTTCGTAGTTAAAGTGATTAACTACCGGCCTGGCACTTAGTTAAGGGGCTTTATTCCCTCCCTAACTTCCGAGGAAAATCCTTACCTGGGGAAACAACCTTTCTCGGAGAGGTGACCTTGGTTAAAACACATAGCGCCAAGAAGGTGAGCAAACATATTAAGAACAGTATGCCATATACGCCAGGTCCCTCGAAACAGCAAGGATGGACCGGCTCCCGGCAGTTATGCAAGTCTCTCTCCTTGCACTGACAGCTGAAACGATTCATGAGAAAAGTTAAAAAGATTTAAGAGACAAAAGTCACATGCAAGAAAGGCACAGACCTTGTCTGGATTTGATGCAAAAACAAATGGAGGTAAGAGCACGTTTCTGAGGCAGCCAGGAGACTTGGTGTGGACTGGTATCGTAAAAAGGTGCATTGCTGCTCAGCTGGTGTGGCTCAGTGGTGGGGCATCGGCCTATGAACCAGGAGGTCACGGTTCTATTCCTAGTTGGGGCACGTGCCCGGGTTGCGGGCTTGAGGCAGCTGATCCATGATTCTCATCATTGATGTTTCTCTCTCTCTCTCTCCCCCTTCATCTCTGAAATCAATAAAAATATATATTTTTTAAAAAGTGGATTGATATTAGAGAATACTAAGGATTTACTATCGATTTGGGGGTAGATTTTTTGTTTCATTGTGATAAAATACACCTCAGGTTCACCAATGGAACCATTTCAAAGTTTGAAATCAGTGGCATTCAGTGCATTCGCCATGTTGCGTGGCCATCACCGCCATTTAGTTCCGGACATTTCATCACCCCAACAGGAGGCCCACACCCCTGAGGCCGCTGGCCACCCCGAGCCCCGCCCTCCACAGCCCTGGCCTGTTTGGTTTCTGTGGACCGGACTCTTCGGGGCCCTGCCTACAAATATCATGGGACATATAAAAGCGGGCCTTTGTGCCTGGCTTCTTCCACTCGCATGTTCCCACCCACAGTGCAGCATTTGCCCGCATCTCATTCCTCTCCCGCTGAAACACCCCGTGTGTGAGCGCGCCACGTGCTGCGGTCCCTCCACCTGCCGGTGAACACGCACTGTTTTTCTCGTCTGCTATTGTGAGTCGTGCTGCTAGGAAGAGTCACGCGTGCGTTTCGTTGGAACGTTTTCAGTCCTCGGAGCGGGACTGCTGGGTCGCGTGGCAATTCTCTGCTGGACGCCGAGGAGCTGTCCCCAGAGGGCCGCCCCGTCTCACATTCCCACTGGTTTCCTACAGGGGGGAGCCCTCACTTGCTTGTTTGAATTCACGCGGCTGGCTGAGGGTGCGAGGGGCCCTCACTTTGGTCCTGAGGCTGAGCATCTGTGTCTCTGGGCCCCTGTGGGGTGTCTTAGAGCATCGTCCAGTTGTGTCTAAAATAAATGTTCTTTGGAAGGCATCCTAGACTAGGAAAGGGCACAACGGTAAGGCTGGATTTGCTTTAAAAAACAAGAAGAAGCCCGGCCAGCGTGGCTCAGTGATGGAGCGTCGACCTAGGAACCAGGAGGTCAGGGTTCGGTTCCCGGTCAGGGCACAGCCCGGGTTGCGGGCTGGATCCCCAGTGGGGAGCGTGCAGGAGGCGGCCGGTCCATGATTCTCTCTCATCATTGATGCTTCTATCTCTCCCTCCCTCTCCCTTCCTCTCTGACATCAATAAAAATGTATTTAAAAAACAAACAAACAATAAATAAAATAAAACACTCAGTGGACTTCCTTTGCTGCCTTTTCCCCGTTTCCAGCCAAATCAGCTCTCGTGGTGGGGGGTCCGCACGTGGCTGCCCAGCCCACGAGGCTGCCTGAGCCCCCAAGCCCCCAGGCGGCCGTGTGAGGTCCCCTCCCGACACAGCTGCCTCCACGCGCATCCACATCCGCATCTGCATCCGCAAGGCAACCTACCTGGTGGGCCTCCACGCCCAGCTCCCGCAGGGCCGACCTGAAGAACTCCGGGGAGGGCTTGCCCACCACCTCGGCCTCGACGCCGCAGGCGTACTGCAGAGAGAGGGCACGCGTGGGCGTGGGGCGAAGCAATGGGACCCCGACTGCAGGGAAGGCCTCCCTCCGGGAACCCGGGGCCTCGGGGGCAGGACATGTGAGCCCGAGACGCGTGATTGACACGGGCGGACGGGCTGCCTGGGATAGACACGCCACGTCGGGCCGCCTGGGATGCTCAGAGCCGCACCTCCAGGCCCGCCATCTGCTCAAACCCCCAGCTGTGGGGGAGGCGGCCCAGAGGTGGCAGTCTCAGGCACCTGACTGCGTTCTCACCCGTATTCCTGCTTCTCCCCTCCCCCACCCTCCCCGCTGGTCACGGCTCCCCCAGGATGCGCCCAGGGCTCCACGTCCCGTCCGTCCCTCCCCGCACGGGTGCAGGCAGGCAGGGCTGGTGCCCAGTGCAGGCGGGCGGAGAGAGGAGCTGGCCGGGGCCGGAGCCGAGGCCAGGACAGCGGGCTGAGCATTGGTCAGAGGATGCTGGGAGCCCCGCCGGGGCCTGGCCTTCAGAATGGGGGGGCGGGGGGGGGGAACAGGTCCAGTCAGGACTCGTCAGGCTGCAGGTGCCCAGGGTGGGGAGTGAGCATGGTCCCCACAGACAGAGCCAGGAGGAGGGCAGCAGAGGGCATGCTGGGAGGGCCGGCGGCCAGCACAGGGGCGTGGAGGGAGGGGGCACACGGGGGCGGGGGCAGGGGCAGCCCCACTAGGAGGGCCACTGAGCACGCCCCTTCTCCAGGAGGCCTGGAGCACGAGGAGGGCTCGGGGCAGGTACCTCGAGCGCCTTCATGTAGCCGCCGACGTCCAGCATCAGGCCCGAGGTCTCCTTGTAGTAGCGCCTGGGAGGAGAGGGACAGGTGAGCCGGCGGAGCTCCAGGAGCCAAGAGAAATGCCGTCCCGTCCGGAGGGCCAGCGGGTGAGGGTCCGTGCAGGTGCCGAGCCGAGAGTGGCCCGTGGTGGTCACCACACCCGGCCAGCAGCCCTCGGTCAGAATGGCCCACTGCCAGCGTTGTGGGGACTCGGCCACGGTGATGGATGGGGGACCCGAGGGCAGACGGGCCCAGCTGCTGACACAGAGGAAGACAGGGGACCTGGGAAAGGACAGCAGGGCCACAAAGCATGCGGCAGCCCCTAATTGCTAATAATTAACCCTAATTGCTGCCTGAAGGAGAAAACCCCGCCAGCTCCGGTGAGCCAGAGGTCAGGAGGCGTGCAGGGTCCGTGGGCGTCAGAAGCTTGAGGAGAAGACAACGGGGACCGAGACGGCTGGGCTCTCGGGGAGCCCCTCACCAGCTCCCCTTCCCCTTCCCAACGCTCCTCAAAATTGGGAGACATTTACTGCGTGTGCGCACAGGGGCGAGAGCAGGCAGGCATGCTGGCCTTGGCGTTCAAAGCTTCTCCACTTCCTCCTAACTGTGGGACTTTGGGTTGCTTAAACCCTCTGGGCCTCAGTTTCCTAATCTGTAAAATGGGCCAAACCCCCTCCCCCAGTACCTACTTTATGGATGGGACTGAGGCTTGAACAAAATAAGGCATGCCAAGTTCTCACCACAAGCCTAGCACAGTGGTCAGCAAACTGTGGCTCGGCAAACCGCAGCTTGCGAGCCACATGCGGCTCTTTGGCCCCTTGAGTGTGGCTCTTCCACAAAATACCGACTTCTGCGCATGGGCCACAAAGCTTCAATCGCAGTGTACATGCGCGCCCGCACGTGGTATTTTGTGGAAGAGCCACACTCAAGGGGCCAAAGAGCTGCATGTGGCTCGCAAGCTGCGGTTTGCCAACCACGGGGCTAGCATGCAGAAACTTCTGGGAAAAACTTAGAGGATGTCATTGCAAACCACTGGTCTCCCAGACTGAGAAGGAGAAACAGGTGATGAGGAGGAGCTGGGAGGAAAGGACAGATGCGGGTCTTCCAGATGCGGCTGGAACCTGTCCTGGGACTATTTTCCAAGCATGTGCCCTGACTGGGGGCCAAACGTGACCTCCTGGTTCCCAGGTCACTGCTCAGCCATGAGTCACGCTGGCCGGGCTTCTGTGCCTGTTTGACCAGTGAGAGCTGATCTGACTCCCCAGCAGCTGCCCGGCTGTGCCCTCCCCCAGCCCAGGCCCCAGCTGCCCTCCGTCTGCCCCGCCTGGACCCCCCGCAGCCAAACCCTGGGCCTTCAGCCAAACCCTGGGCCTTCTGAGGACTAGCTCCCTGACACTCACCCTGCCAGGGGGCGGGGTTCTGAGCCCATTTGCTAAAGCCACGAGGGTTCCTCCTGAATGACAGGCCCTGCAGGCCTCCGTGCGCCCCAGGCCTCCGTGTGCCCCCCCGCCGCCTCTGTACACCCCAGGCCTCCGTGTGTGCCCCAGGCCTCCGTGCACCCCCGGCCTCCGTGCGCCCCAGGCCTCCGTGTGCCCCAGGCCTCCCCATCAGGGCTGCGGACCAGGGGGACACTGCAGGTTCGGGAGGGTGCCTGGTAGCCAGAGGGAACTGCCACCTGCTTACAGAGTCGGGGCCTGCAAGTGCTCCCCTTTTGAAGGGTGACCCCAAAACACAGGCTTAGGGGTCCGTCACTGCATCTGTCTTAAGCCCGGGATGCGGATGTGCACTCTGCCTTACACAGCCTTTAGAAAGCTCCCTCTTCTTCCTCCATGTCTACCACAGACGGCTCAGCAGACATTTCCTGAGCCGGGTCAGAGCTGCAAGGCACGGCTGAGGGGAGATGCTGGGTGCTGGGCCCGCGATCCCTGGGGCTGTGGAGGCTCCGTTCCTTGTCCCCAGACGTCGAGGACACGGCCACCTCACAGCCCTTGAAGGACTCGGGGACACTCCCAGGCCCCCCGCGCGCCACCCCCCCCCGCCCCCGCGGGACTCCTGGCCTGTGGGGAACCAGACAAGTCCACAGACAAACAGGAAAGGGCAGGAAAGGGCGGCAATGAGAGGGCCGCGGGCTCTGGGCACGGCGGAGGCCGACATGCTGGGGACAGGGACACAGGAGGGCGCCCCAGAGGAGGAGGAGCAAAGCTGGGAGCCCCTGCAGCTGTGCTGGAGCAGAGGCTTCTGGGGCCAGGCCCCGTGCCCCGGCCTGGCTGGGGGCCACACGCCGTGCCCCCGCTTTGAGGAAACCTCCCCCGGCAGTCCCACGGCACCACTGCCATCTCACACCCCCACATCCTTCTCCCGAAGTGACAGGAACCTGGACTTTCTTGTTTAAATTTAGTCCTGATGGGAGGAAAAAATCAAAATTGCAGCTTAAAATACACAAGTGAAACCTTGTCTTTTACACCCAAAACTATACACAATAATAGTGAGCCCTGGCTGGTCGGCTCAGTGGTTAGAGTGTTGCCCCGCAGACTGGAGGGTCACGGATGCGATTCCCAGCCAAGGGCACGTACCTCGTCCCGTCGGGCATGTGTGGGAGGCAGCCAATCAGTGTGTCTCTCACATCAGTGTTTCTCTCCTCCCCCTCCTCCCTCCCTTCCACTCTCTAAAAATCAATGGGAAAAATATCCTCGGGTGAAGATAAAAACAGTAACGATAATATAGTAACTATTGAATGTAAGCTGTCGTTAAAAAATAAAATTTAAATAAAAACCTTGTCTTTCTTACATGCATTTTTAGAATCTAAAGAAAAAACTGACTTCCAAAATCCAACTTGGAAACCTTAACGTTTCCTTTTAAACGGAACCTGGTGCTTTGATCGCTCTCAGGGCTTTTCCTCATTTCTCACTCACTCAGGAAAGCACGAAGGCGTCTTGCAGGCCGTCTGTTAGCTGCTAGCATTTTTAGAGATACAGTCAGTACAAGTACCTACCCTAACTTTTAAAAACTATAAAAGCCCAGGCCCTGGCCCGTGTGGCTCAGGGGTTGAGCATCAACCTATAAACCAGGAGGTCACGGTTTGATTCCCGGTCAGGGCACAGGCCGGGGCTTCGGGTTCGATCCCCAGCGTGGGGCGCGCAGGAGGCAGTCGATCCATGATTCTCTTTCATCACTGATGCTTCTCTCTCTCTCTCTCTCTCCCTCTCCCTTCCCCTCTGACATCCGTAAAAATATATATTAATACATATATATGTACAGATGTGTGTGTGTGTGTGTGCGTGTGTATATATATGTGTGTGTATATATATATCTGCATGCACCTAGGTTAGTCCCCAAACACAAGAGACTGGAAGCATTTACCTTGTGCTCCTGGCGAATACAGACCCCGCAGCCAGGCTGGTCCGAGCGGGCAGCGCAGAGGTCACCGGGAGCTGGGCAGGCGGGGGAGCGGGAGGCGCGGCCGGAGAGGCCTCTCGCTCTGCCTCTGCCCTTCCCCTCAGTCGGCACGGCCTCCCTGCACAGCGATCGCTTGACCTTTCCCGCCAGAGCCATGAACCTCCCACCGCCTGCGCGTCAACAGCCTAACGTCCCGCCGGCCGCGTGACAGAGGAATTACGGAGGCAGTTCCCGCTCCCGGTCCAAGCAGACGCCCCTGCAAACCACCCGTGTCCAGAGCAGGGCGCTCGGCCCCGCACGGCCACCACTGCGTCCGGGGGGTGGGGGGACGGCCCTCCCCATCCGTGACCCACTCCACGTGACAGCAGCCTTCGGGGGCCCTGGGCTATCCCGGGACGCGGACATGGGCCTGAAGCTGTGGGTTCCTTCCTCTTGTTTCTGAGCAGCGAACCCCTCACGCCAGTCAGACCCCGTCAGCGAGAGACCCCATCACCGCTCGTCTGTAAAACCAGCCGCTCGAGGCCACCACGGAATCGCAGGCCAACGCCACGGACTCCACGGCTCTCCCTGTGTCAGCAACATGCAGGCTTTGCCTACTGCCCGTGACCTGGAATCACTTAATAACTAGAGACAAACCGGCCGGTGTGGCTCAGCAGTTGAGCGTCGACCTATGAACCAGGAGGTCACGGTTCGATTCCCGGTCAGGCACATGCTGGGGATGCGGGCTCTACCCCCAGTGTGGGGCCTGCAGGAGGCAGCGGATCCATGACCTCTCTCATCATTGATGTTTCTCTCTCCCTCTCCCTTCCCCTCTGAAATCAATATATATATATATATATATATATATATATACACACACACACACACATAATATGCACTGGGCCTCTAGTGTGAGTGTGTATATATATTAGAGACGATTAAAAATGTTAACACAAACAAGTTATAACAGAATTTCTTAACTACATGTTCTCTAGTGATGAGTCAGGACGTTAGGGAGGCCCAGGACCCCGCCGGGCCGTCAATGAGCTAAGCAGGCCAGATTCTGTGGCTCGCAGTGACCTGAATTGCAGGAGGCTGCAGGGCTACAAAAGGAAAGAAGGAAGAAATGAAGAGAAAAAGCAAGAAAACGGAGGGAGGGACCTGGCTGGTGCTCAGTGGTTAGAGCGTCGGCCCAAGGGTCTTGGGTTCGATTCCCAGTCAAGGGAATACTTGTGTTGCAGGTTCAAACCCCAGCCTGGCCGGGGTCCGTGTGGGGGGCAACCAATCAATGTGCCTCTCTCACGTCAATGTTTCTCTCTCTCTCTCCCTCCACCCCCTCCCTTCCGCTCTCTCTAAAAATCAACGGAAAAAATATCCTCACTCCTCAGCTGAAGATTAAAGAAAAGAAAAAGAAGAGGGAGGGAGAGAGAAGGCCGTCGCCCCGCGCCCACCGCGCCCGAGTTCCCGCCTCCTTCTCCATGTGGCTCTGTGAGTCGGACCCAGAGCGAGTCTCACGCCGACTTACCCCTTCCCCAGGGAGATGAGCACGGGGTCCGCCAGCCCCATGAGCACCTGGAAGGCCCTGTTCATGTTCCGGTAGGAAAAGTGTTCTCCCGCGTCCGCAATGACCACACAGTTTGGGTTGGATGTGTCAATCTGATCGAATTCTGAGCGGACTTCTGGAAAGAAAGAGGGAGGGATACAGTTCAGTGCCACCCCCTGCCCCTCCCTGTGTTGGGGCAGGTGCCACCCCGCGCCCCTCCCTGGGCTGGGGCAGGTGCCACCCTACGCCCCTCCCTGTGCTGGGGCAGGTGCCACCCCGCGCCCCTCCCTGTGCTGGGGCAGGTGCCACCCCGCGCCCCTCTGTGTGCTGGGGCAGGTGCCACCCTGCGCCCCTCTGTGTGCTGGGGCCCAGGGGAGAGGGATGCCGACCCAGCCCCACCCTGGATGGGGCGCCTGCACCCCGGCCCGGCACCCGCAGGCCTACCGTCGTGGACCAGCAGGTGTGGCCGGAGGCCTCGCTCCTGGAGGAGGCGGCAGGCGGCGGGGGGCGGGGCGGTCACCTCGGCCTCGGAGACGTCAAAGCCCAGGCGGCGCAGCTCGCCCACCAGGCGCCCGCGGGACTTCTGCGACTCGTTGGTGCAGAACCTCACCCTCAGCCCTGAGCGCTTCAGCCTGGGGGGGACGGAGGGTGCTGTTACCGGGCAGGCGGCCTCCCGGGAGCGGCCCGACGCGGACAGGTGGGACAGCCAGGGCAGGCTGCTCCTGGGGCCCCGACGGACCGCAGGGCTCAGGCTGGTGATTCCGAGGGGAGCAGACCCTTCCCGGGCGACCGGACCTCCCCCCACATCCCTCCTCTCGTCCTGAGGGGCGCCCCTGAGGCTCCCCAAGGTCCCACCTGCCCTGCCCACGCCTCCCTCTCCTCCTGGGACACCTCTCTGTGCCCGAGACACATCCCTGCCACCTGCCTCCACACGCTGCCTCTCCACACCCCTCCCGCCTCAGAGACCCACCGACACCTCCCCCACCCCCACCCCACCCGGCCCAGCTGGAGGTCAGTTCATTTTTTTTAATATAGTTTTATTGATGTCAGAGAGGAAGGGAGAGGGAGAGAGAGAGAAACATCAATGATGAGAGAGAACCATGGATCGGCTGCCTCCTGCACGCCCCACACTGGGGATGGAGCCCACACCCTGGGCCTGTGCCCTGACCGGGCATCGAACCTGGGACCTCCTGGGTCACAGGCTGACCGGGCTGGAGGTCACTGCTGGTTGTGGCCGGTAGCCCCTGTGCCTCCCCAACGCCGGGCACTCGCCCTGCGCATCTGAACTACAGACGCCACGTAGACTTTGGATCCATTTCCCCAAAAGGGCAGGGGCCCAGGACCGAGCGGAGGCCCTTGCTGAGGGGCCGGCTGAAGTGTCCCTGGTTGTCACCCAGGTGCTCTGGGGCGTCAGGAAGGGTCTGCTCAGGCCTCAGCACCGGCCTCCTGCGGAGCTGGCGCACAGCGGCCCTGGCATTGGCTGAGTGACTGGCTGATGCCAAGTCCCAACGACAGCCAGTGAGGGGACCTCCCGGCCACCCTGCCCACACTGCTGCCTCCCCAAGCCACTCTGCTCTGGGGGCACAGAGGGGCCTCAGCGTGAAGGCACGCCTGCCACGGTCCCAGGTCACGTGGGCCTCAGCGTGAAGGCACACCTGCCAAGGTCCCGGGCCATGTGGGCCTCAGCGTGAAGACACATTGCCATGGTCCCGGGCTACGCAAGCCTCACCGTGAAGGCACCCCTGCCACGGACCCGGGCCATGCGGGCCTCAGCGTGAAGACACATTGCCACGGTCCTGGGCCACGCAGGCCTCAGTGTGAAGGCACACCTGCCACGGTCCCAGTTCACGTGGGCCTCAGCATGAAGGCACACCTGCCATGGTCCCGGGCCACGCGAGCCTCAGTGTGAAGACACACCTGCCACGGTCCCGGGCCACGCGGGCCTCGGCGTGAAGGCACACCTGCCACGGTCCCGGGCCACGCGAGCCTCAGTGTGAAGACACACCCTGGCATGGTTCCGGGCCACGGGCTCTGCGGCTGACACACGAGATTTGGGAGGAAATCGCAGAGCTGCTGACTAGAGCGCGGACGCAGGCTGGGAGCAGACAGGGCCTTCATCAACGGCCCGTGATTCAGCCCGTTCTTGGTATTTGTCTTTCCTAATCATAGGGCTATGGATGGCCCGTCATGCGCGCGGGTAATTGCCCTTCATAAAGACAGCTTTTGTGTTTTTAATTAGGCAGTTAATTATTGTAACTAATAGCATCACCTTGTACCTCACAGACAGAGCCTCACTGATTGGCGCCCGGAAAGTGTGATTCACACCCAAGTTAATGGAGCCGTTGAGGGGAGGAGAGGGGGTGCCGGGGGACTAATTATTGCTGATGAGTTACGATGCGACCTTCTCAGAACAGTGAGCATCGTGTGACTGAGGTGACAGAGCCGCACATCTGCTCCCAACGCGACTTCAGGAGCCGGCGAGACGACGAGATGACATAACCCACGTCGGGACACTGCGGCCTCTGGTCCCTTCGAAATACCAACCTGCGTCCACCCAAAACCTCTGCTTTAAAGCCCGAGGAACAGCCGGCCGGCGGGGCTCAGTGGTTGAGCATCGACCTATGAACCCGGAGGTCAGGGTTCGATTCCCAGTTAGGGTTCGATTCCTAGTCAGGGCACAGGCCCGGGTTTCGGGCTCCATCCCCAGTGTGGGGCGTGCAGGAGGGAGCCGATCTGTGACTCTCTATCATTAATGTCTCTCTCCCGCTGTCCCTCTCCCTTCCTCTCTGAAATTAAAGAGAAGGAGGAGAAGGAGAAGAGGGAGGAGGAGGAGGAGGAGAAGGTGGTGCCTACAAGCCAGGAAGAGAACTCCCACCGGAAACCACCTGCCAAGACCTTGATCTTGGACGTCCCGCCCTCCGGACTCCGGGGAAACGGAATTCTGTTGCTTACGCCCATCTGCGGTGTTCGGTGTTCAGCTATGGCGCCCAACCAGAGAACCAGCCCCTCAGCCCCAGCGGGTCTGCTGCCCTGCCCCAGGGCGCACGCTGCCTGGGAGGCCTCACGTGAGAATCCGGGAGGTCAGGAAACCCAAGTCGGGCCAGCGAGGGCCCCCAGGGGAGTGACTCCAAGGGATTTCAGCACCAGGGACAGGCGAGCTCTGGGATAGGCCAGGTTATCACCCCTCCCCGTCGCCCCAAACCTGGGGGACAGGGACCTCCTGCAGGGCCCGCTGAGGCCTCGCCGCTGCCCCTCAGGAGCCCGTGGACGCACCCCAACTCCTGCGGCCGCACCGCATCTGTGAACTGACCTTTACCTCGTCCTGGCGGGCAGGGACACACTCTGAGCGACAACGTCGTCGCCTGTGCAATTACGTGCATCACAGAGCGGGTCCCTTGCAAATCACCCCGGGCCTCGCCCATCTGCTGGCTGTCGGCATCTGCCGGGCGCTCACCCGGAAACGATGGAGCCTCTGGTTAGCGTGGGGCGCAGAAGAGGCAGGCAGCCACTGGGCTCCTGGCTGACCTTGGTGTGGCTGCTGCCCTCTCCACTGGCCACGGGCCCACGGGGGAGCTGGCTGGGGCAGGAGGGGCCCCGACCAGGCCCTCCCTCGGCGCCTATGGGATCTGTCACCCGCTGACCCGAGGCCCTCTCCTCACCGAGGGCCGAGTCCCACTCATCCTGCAGGGCCTGGCTCACGCGCCCCTTCCCCCAGGAAGGACCCCGACCCCACCCTGCCTGGGCATAGCCATGGTCCTCTGTGCGGCTCTCAGCCCTGGTGCTGCGCTTGGCATCAGCAGCACCTGGTCCTTCCTCTGCCCCCCACCGCTCAGGGCTCCCTCCGTGTTTCCTGAAGCACCGCCCATCCCGGTGCCCGGGCACAGGCGCTGGGCGAGTGTCAGAGCCAGGACCGCCCCTAGGCAGCCCTCGCCCACCAGCCAGTCAGTTCTCCAATGTGCACGCCACCCTGGCATCGCCACAGAGGCCAAAGGAGGCTCCCGCCAGGGGGTCAGGGGCTGCAGGGATGGATACGAGGGGCTGTCAAGTGAGTGGTCCAGGGGCCCCTCAGGGGTAGGGCCACGGCGGGCTCAGAGCGCAGCTCACAGGTGGGAAGTGCTCCCTGGGCCACAGGGAAGCTCGCGTTTCGAGGGCCCACAGGGCCTGAGGCTGCCGGGGAGCGCCTGCCCTTTCCTGCATCCGTGTGGCCTGGATGCCCCAGACCGCCCCCCCCCCTCAAAATGCATCGGGCACGGTAGCCAGCACCCAGCACGGCGATGCTTTACTGTGAGAGAGACGCTCCGAACTGATTCAAATTCCAGAGGAGAGGGGCCCACGAGAAAATCCGAGAACCTCCCGGGCACCCAGGGAACCTGGGGAAGGAGCCCCACGCTCTCAGCCTACCCCACACTGCGCCCCCGACTGCCCCGGCTCCCCACTGCTCCGGCACCCCCCCACTGCCCCGGCACCCCCACTGCCCAGGCTCCGTCTCTAGGCCTCTCTGGCGCAAGGTTTCCCCGTGACGGCTCCAGCCAGGGGATGGAGGGTTGGCCTGGGCACTGGGGGCTGCAGATGGGAACAGATGTGCCAGGGAGACGCTCCACTGCGGAGCGGGAGGCCAGGTGGCGGGTGGCGACAGGAGGCACTTCAGAGCGATGCCCTGGGCTGCATCTGGGCTCCGCCACTTGCTGGCTGTGGAGCCTCCGCCAGCTATTTCTTATCTGGGGCTCAGTTTGCTCGTCTGTAAAATGGGCATGACAATAGCACCTACTTCACGTTGTGAGGATCCAGGGAGGCCTGCAGGGGCCTGCACGGGCCTGGCCCACAGGAGGTGCCCACTGAGTATTGAGAACATCTGCCCGTGGGCAGGGGGCAGGGAGGAGTCCACTCTCCTTGCCCGAACCTCTCATGGTGGGTGGGAGCGCTTGCCCACCTCACCCCAGGCAGCCACCCCACTGCCAAGGGGGCGGGGCAGAGGGTCTGGGAGACCAGGCCCCCACCTCCCACCCAGGAAAAGAGACCCCGCAGGGTGGTGGAGGGAGAGGCCTCGGCTGCGTGGGTTCCTGGGGGGAGGGGCGAGCCCCAGCTGGCAGATCAAACTTGAAGCGACAAATGAGAACAGCGTCCAGAGGGGAGGTGGCTTCTCACCCTCACAGGGAGGCTGCTCTGCCTGCTTTGTTGTTGCTTTAATATGTCTTTATTGATGTCAGAGAGGAAGGGAGAGGGAGACAGAGATAGAAGCATCAATGATGAGAGAATCATGGGCCGCTGCTTCCTGCAGACCTTCTACTGGGGATTGAGCCCACACCCCGGGCATGTGCCCTGACCGGGACTGGAGCCCATGGTCAGACAAGGCTGGTTTTGCACTAGAAAAATACCGTCATCCACGCACACAGGGACACCCACACACAGGGGCACCCATGTAGATTCCAGAGGGTCCGGCCCAGCTCTAGGCAGCAGCTCAGGGCCAGGGGGCCCAGGCTTAACCGCCCCGGGACTGGGGTTGGCACCTTGCACATGCCCTGGGCTGGGCACCGTGGGCTGGGCTCCTGGAGTCCTTGAGTCTCAGCCATGACATGTGGTCACGGCAGCACCTGGCCCCCCCGCTGGCGGCTCTCCAGGGCTGGGCACTGCA